ATTATTTACTTTGCCAAAAATGAATATAACGATTATTCAGATATATAAAAATCCTTTAATAGGTTAAATAGGAATACAATGATTGACTTTTGAATAAAAAGGCATTATACATGTACATATGTAGTTGTTGCTGTAAAATTAACAAACCAAAGTGGACTATCTTTCCATATTAATAGCAAATGGGCCTTCTGTTTGCATTTTACTGAAATTATTTGTAACAAAAGTTTATTGTGATAAAGCAGGCAGTGATTTTGTCACTTTTTTAGCTTGCAGACCGTGATCTAGTCGAGACAACATCTTGTAGTAATGGGTGTAACAGTGATGAGGCAGGAATTGATTTTATAAATGCAACTTTTGACAATTCCATTATTGATGGTTTATCTAACAGTTAGCCATTTTGTCCAACATTCTGCTTAGACGCCAAATTAAAAGATACTGATTTGCATCACATCAAGTTTGATTTGTTCACCGATGTTTGTCAGAGTGATACCTGTAGCAGCTGCACTCGACTGATATGCAGCAAGATACATGTGAGCTTTCATTGCAACATTTACATTTAGAACAGTTACAATTTTACTTAGTCTGATAGAAAATTAAATAATTGAAGTATATTTCTTTGAGTTTATTCCATTTGAACATTACTTTTACAATACAGATACCTTCGTTTTGAAACATTAGCAGCAAACGGTCAGTTTTCAACTTTGAATGTTTCATTTTTGTTCATAAAAAGTGTATTCTACAAAAGTCAAGGTCATTTCAAGGTAAAATGTCAACATTTAGGTAGTTGGGTTTTTAAGACACCTGACCCTCCACAACCAATGATTAGGTGACCTGAAGTCAAGGTCTGAATAGATCAAGGTAATTTTAAGGTCAATATCTAGCAAGTTGACATGAGAACAATTGTGACCTTTGGCGACCAATGATAAAGTGATTTCAAGGTAATTTCAAGGTCAAAAGTCAATATCTAGGTCATAGGTAGTTGGCTACTGTGGGTCTTCAGTAACATTTGATCACCAAAGATAAAGTGACCTACGGTCAATGTCACTGTTTATGGCTCAAGGTCATCTCAAGGTCAGAGGTCAATATCTGAATATTTGGCATTTTGGGGATGCTGCTTCATGTGAGGACCCATTGCTATGTGTTCTGAGGTCAAGGTCATTCATACAAGGTCAAAATCTCTGTATTTGGCGTTTTGAGGCCCTGGGGGCTGCTATGACCCTTGGCAACTCATGCTAAGGTGACATGAGGTCAAAGTCAATATCTATTGTTCAAAATTATAATAAGGTCAAAGGTCAATCTCTAGGTAGTTGGCTCGTTTGAGGCTACACCGACATTTGATCACCAATGATAAAGTGACCTGAGATCAGTGTCATTGTTATAGGTCAGGGTCAAAGATCAATATCTAAATATTTGGCGTTTCGGGGCGGCTGCTGCACTTGACTCCATTGAAACGTGACCTAGGGTCAAGGTCAATCTAAGGTCAAATTTCAATATATTAGTGTTTGGTGTTTTAAGGCCACTGGGGCTGCTGTCGTGATGTGGCCTTTGGTGACTCATGATAAGGTGACATGAGGCAGTCATCATTTAATGGTTCAATTCAAGATCGTCTCAAGGTCAATATCTAGGTATTGGTGTTTCAAGGCACTCGGGGGATGCTGTGACGCTTGGTGACACATTACAATGGTGACATATTTCAATTGACATTTCAAAAGTAATAGTCGATCATTTCTGTTTTACCATGTCAATTTTAATAAAATTTGCCAATTTGAAGTAAAATTATAACAGAAGAGAGGTTATCCAAATATGAGGTCATATTAATGACTGTACTCAGTAATCTTCAGTCAAGCTGACGAAGTTTTTCATGAAAGAGTTACTTTCTGTCATGGTTCTAAATTGAATAAGTATAAGCAGGTGCGTTTTCAAAAATGCAAATTTAAAGCAAATTTCGCAAAATTTATATTAGTTATTGATATGTAGATATAGTCCATTAGGGTATGGTTATTCTCTTATAAACAATTATGGTACAAATTTGGTACTTCTGACTATATAATGCTTTTTTATTCAAAAGTCAATTATATTATTCTTATTTTGACTATCAAATGATTTTCATATATTCGAATAACCATTATATTAGTTTTTGGCAAAGTAAATAATAGTAGGGATCACACAAGGATCAACTGTATTGAAAATTGGTCATACTGGTATATGCCCTGCCGCTCTAAGATCAAGCGCAATGAATTGTGATTTTTCAGTTGAAACAGGGAAACAAACACACTATCATTATATGTTTAACATTTAACAAATAATTTTCTGTTAAACGTAGTAATTTTTCAAAACATCACTAAATATGAAAAAGGTGTAAATAAAGTGGATCCTTGTGTGAGCCCCATTATTATTTACTTTGACAAAAATGAATATAATGGTAAGTGTAATATATAGAAAACATTGAATAGGTAAAATAGGAATATAATTAATAACAACTGTGACTTTTGCATTAAAATGGCATTTTAACGTCAGAAATGTATAATTCTTCAATATTATTGTTTTTAATAAAAATGACCACACCCAAATGGACTATCATACATATCAATATCAAATCTGCCTCCTATTTCATATACTAGCTGCTATTTTTTGAAAAAAAAGATTTTTGTCAAACTCATCTTTTTGCCGGTTGCACCTTGGGGCAAGCCGTTTAGCCCTTTCGTGTCACTTTTTTGAGTGCAGACAAGTAAAAATGAATAGTCAATGAACCAATCTATAATGACTATGGGTCAAATCATAGTAACCTACCTCAACATCAGTTAATGGGATTTTCTGGAGTTTTGGCGCACACTAAAGGCCATCAATGTTGAATGTGGTGATATATTGTTATAGTCTCAACAGTTTTTGTGGCCGTGTTCAAGGATCAGCATTCAGCGGTTGGTAGTTTGCATTTGGCAGTTTGGTTTTGATGTCTGTAACAAATGACAGGTTGTGACATTTGTTTATAGGAGTGAATTTTCTTGATTGCTCAGCATCCCTCTTGATCTAATTTAGAATCTTGTTCTCATCCAATGCATTATAGGGGCTGTGAAACCCTCAATGCAAATTATATATATATTTTGCTTGTTAATTTTTTTGTCCATAAATGAGAAGAAATGAGATAGCAGTTTATTAACTCTAATTTCACTCACAGTTCTCAGGGTTTGGTTTATCATGATGGAATTGTGTTTTGTCCCAGCTCCAAATTCTAGTAACCCTTTGAAAGAGCTCGTTCCCAGGTTTTCCCAGGCTCTTTAAATGAGAAACAATTCTTGGATCTCAACAAATCAGAAAGTTGATTTAGTCCAAATCCGACTGGATCATGACATTAAATGCCTTAAAACACCAAGAATTTGATGAGTATTTAAATGCCATGAAAGCTGCATCTGAGATCGTGAAGATGCTATTGTCATCCAAACTTTAAATCAACAGAAGATTTAGCTGGTAGATGCAAATAGAAGGTAGAGCCTTTGGGGCAAAATGCAATGAAGCACATGTGTGTATATGGCTAAGAAAACTGCCAAAAGGTTGAATGAGATGTAAATGTAAATATTTACTTTGTGAAGCCATGCAGTTTGGAAATGTGACAAGAGGATAATGAGGTTTAAGGTCATTCAAGGTCATTCAAGGTCATCATTAGTTACTGTCTATAGATCAGAGGAATGTCTTGTTGAATCCATTCTGATTTATCAATCTCTCTTTATCTTAAACCTGTGTATCCTATAGGGATAGAACAAGCTGTCTTTGGATCACATTACCTTGAATTAGTCATGCATCAAGTATCTGGATAAGGGGGAAGGGGGAGGGGGGGGGGTATCCTGAAAATGACCTTATATACACCATTCTTACCTCAAAGACCTATGTACAGGGCAATCAACTTAATAAATTTCAAGAATTAAGAATCTATACTTATATGTATTCTCGAGCCATTCTTTACTGGGCCTCTCTTTGTTAATGGGAGGGGGCAAAATGTTTTTAACAATTTGTTCCAAAACATTTTAGGACCCTTTTTACTTGGGACCTCATATTGAAAACATTTGCCCATTTCAAATATCGGCCTATCTTTAAGTGTATGAATGACTTGGAAGAAAGTTAGAGGTTACATGGAGTATTATTGTCCTTCCCACACTGTATGGGTATAAGCCCCCACTTCTTTGCATGTGTTCCTCATTGAACATTTGATTGATAGCAACTTTGGGACGACAGTTTAACAGTGCAGTAGCATTGCATTTAGGAATGTTGTTCTCAAAGTCACCATGGAGACAGCATCTCAAATGTCTGCAACAGAGTTGATACACATCTGGCTTTGTATCTCAATCATATGTTGTTGTTTTGTTTTGAAATCTTGTGCCATGCCATTAGGATGCTAAAGTGCCTATAAGTATAAAGATACTATAGTATTATTTCCTGATATATACTGAACTATAACAATGTTGTGGAAAAGGAGTAGTAAATAATTATCTTGCATGTAAAAGTGAATATCTTGCATGTAAGCGTGAATATCTTGCATGTGTATGGTGACAGTAAGTTAGATAGACTAGATACCTGCATTGATTGAATGATGATAATAATCAGTTGTAATTACAATCATGAATTATAAAACAAAATTAGATATCATATAATTCAATCAAACCTATGTTTTTAGTGATTAACATTTTGACCTGAAATTAATTTTTATAGTTGTAACACCACCTGTATCACCTGTGAATAGTTTTTACTTATATGTAAGTGTGGTGTATAGAACACTTCATCATAGGGATAGGTGTTGTGTCTCATTTTCAGTCTTTCTCCCTCAGGAGCATACTGAACCATATTGCTCCTATTAACAGTGCCACATGGTATCAACTTTCAACAAGGCCCACAATATGATAAACCAGATTGAGACATTTTGATCTGTCAGACCCTCTCTAACCTGAAGTAGGAGCTTACATTTAGTTTGAGACTGTATACATTTAACATATTGTCTTGTTATGTTTCAGAAGGACTTATTGGGTACCACATCCTGCCATAATGTAAACTGACCTGAAGGAGGAACACATCAGAAGTCACATATAAACCAGCTGTGTAGGAGAGAGACTCATCTAACATTAACTAATAGCTGCAATAATAACAGCTTACATTTCACAAACAATTGACAAGAAGACTGACTCAAATCTGTTTAAGGAGACAGACTTTTTAAACTTCACAAGGTACAGTCAACAGGAGATTTCAGAGACTACATTCGACAAACCAATCAAGTACCTACCAATCAACGAATTCCTACCAAACAAACAGAAACAACAACTAATCAAAGGAAACAATTAACCACCTCCAAACGAGCTAGAAATAAAAAATACCAGAAAAGTAAATCGCAAGTCAAACACCTCATGAGAATTCTTGGTTGTAACACTATAATCCAATATCCCAACCCCCTCACCTGGCTTGGGATTAGATCTAAGGATAAAGTGACACCAGGTCTGAAAACAAGGCCCACTCATTTTTCCTGCAGTTGTGATTAGGAACAGTCATTGCTGGGGTATCTTGCAATCTTGCATGACACAGCATATCAGATAACTGCATAACTGGGAGTGGATGCAATCAACTAAGGAATATATCATGTTCTTGTACAGTTAGGTCCTGACATTGATAGAGCTGGAATTTATAAGGCGGAGGAGGTGACAAAAATTGTAGGAAGTCTAATTATTATCATATATTAAAAACAGAGATACTTTGGAGAAAACACTGGTTCTGATTTCCTACATCTAAAAAGAGTGACTTCTGTCTCTGATATTAATAAGAGAAAACTTTTATCTAAGTTCACAGAAGATTGTCTAAATATCACATGGATTAAAAAACTAAATTGTAGTACTTTATACATTAAATAAGATTTTGAGAGAATTTATAACAGTTTTAAAGAAATCCCAACTAACCGGAACCCACACACAACAATTGAGTGAAAACATTACCATTAATCAGCAACTAGACTATACAAACCAATTCACTGACTGAATACTGAACTGTACATTTGAACAGGTGAAAGTTTGAGGCAACCGCAGAATTGAAAAAGGAAGTTCCAAATGAGCGGCTCTCACATTTATCTTCCTGTGTGTATGATAGCAGTGAAACCACAATATAATTGTTGTCATATGTTGCAGTGTGTATCTGTACCAGGGGCTTGTCGTGTCTGCTTTTCAGCGCCTGGAGCTTCATAAAGTCTGAACTCAGAGCCTTCAAGATAGTTCACCAAAAAGGATAAATTTTAGTAGGATTCTATGTATATACTTTATTTTAGTCCAATGCGGATAATAGGATACATTTTAACATATGTCTGTTTTTCATTGGTGTGAATGACATTTATGTTGATGAACACATTCAATTTTGATACTGAAATTAAACATCTACAGTTTTTTTAACAATAACAAGAAGATTAATAACATGAGACCAGTGTAAAGGAATACCATAACTAGTGTCTAGGATTAACCTATGTAAGGAGTAATTCACAGGATTAAAAGCTGGGATTAAGTTGAGGATTAAAGCCAGTATTAAGATTATTAAGGATTAATTTCATTTGGACGCAAGATTCAAGATGGATGATGAGAATAAGTATGACGATGTCCAAGATGAGAATGAACTCAATAGAATGGTAAGTCTTGATTTATTATTATGATTTGAAAGGGCATTCACACATAGCTAGGCAAGGTCTGTCCGATTCCAGCCAATCCGAACAAAGTATTTTCACATAACAGCAGTGCATGAAATAATGAATAACGCATTCGTTTTATGTCATCAACATGGTGAGGAGTTAGACTTACTGAGCTTTGCCAATTTGACCCTTGCAAAAAGTTTCATTGAACTTATGTTCTTTTAGTGATTTTATATCTTAAGTGATATGGTAGGACATATTTTGCAATGTGTGAAAAGAATTTAAGCCCAAGACTCAATGCATTGTGGAATGACCATTCCTTTCAGGCATTGTTTCCTGAAATTAACACTCAATGATCTGCATCTAGTGCAAATTTTGGAAAGCAACATCTTTAAGAAATGGCCATTCCACATTGCACTGGGTTGAAGGCTTAAATCCTTAAATGAACAATGTTTGACCTTACCAGAGGTACACTTAAAACTTTATTTATGAAAGAATTGTGAAGGAATAATTTTATGGCAATATATGCAATGCATAGTCAACTGTGAAAGTTATGGACCACCCTTTGACCAATCAGAATTGAGTAACTGAGGTTGTAATAATACATGTAATATATACTGTAGTGTGTGTGTGTTTGGGGGGCGGGGGGGGGGGGGGTAACTTACTAATGAGCCTCTGTTAGTTGATCTTACATCCAGGTCATCTTGGATTTCTAAGGTATGAACTCTTAATATCAAATTGGTATTTGGTATATGCAAATATGCATCCAGGATGCAAATCAACTCAATAGAGTGCTAGGTTAAATAAATCAAAGTACATTTTTATACAGCATTGTTAAGTAAAGTACAGATCAGTAAACAGTGATTTCCCCAGCATTAAAGCAAGTAGGCGCAGCACCCACCTGAAATTTTGAAAATAGGCTTGCACCCACCTGAAAATCCACTTGCACCCACTTGAAAATGAGAAAAATCATGAAAAATTGGCATAATTTTTACCAATTTTGGTCTGAATTGTGAAAATGAGAATTTTGCACCCACTTGTAAGGGAGATCACTGGTAAAGTACACAACATGGAATAAACCAAGCTATGTCCTATTTTTATATTTTATTTGCATATTTATTTGTCTTATTTCTATGTCTTGTTTGCATGTCACTTAGGTATGTCTTATTTCTACATTTTATTTGCATGTCAATTAGGGTATGCCTTGTTTGTATGTCTTGTTTGCATGTCCTAATTGTAAATTCTGTTTGTTTGATGGAACTCATGGGATTATACATCTTCCATATACAATGTACAGTGCTCTCTCCAGGATTTTCTTGTGTGGAGGATTTTATTATTTTTTTAGCGCTGCATTTAAGTATTTTGTAAGTTTTTATGCAACAAATTAGAGTTTTTCTTATTCTTCATTGTAACATTTTAGGAGGCACAACTTATTGCATTGAGGACCATTTTGGTTTTACAAAAATCATGGAGGTGCTGCGCCTCAGTGATTTCAATGTAGGGAGACAGCACTGTTGCACATGTAAAGAGGGACTTGTTATATTTCCCATGTTTATTCTCTTAAGCTTCCAAAATATTTTCTTATGTCTAAGAGAGGAACATAATGTTACATCTACCACTTTATGTGACCGATTTGTAACAAATGGTTACATATTTGGGATTGAACAAGCTAGAATTAGTGATATTTCATTATTAAGTGCCTTGTTATTTTTAGGAAGAATTGATTGTCCAATTATGAGTGAGCATCAATATCCTGCCTGCTATCTAAAATACTTCTATGACAAATTAGGTTATTATGTATGTTAAAACTATAAAGGAAGGGAATGTACATGGTAGGGAAAGGTCCTCTTATGTCAGGTATCAGGTGATACAGTACAGGCACAAACATCAAAGTCAGTTTGGATTTACATAAAGTTGTCCCTTCCCAAGATAATCATTTTTGAAAATATTGGTTATAGGATTCAATCGGGGAAACATGTTAAATGTGAGAAACCAAGGTTAATTGTAAAGTGTACAGTATATTTTTTCTTATTTTTTGCTTGTTTTTACTAAATATTCATTGAAATGCCTTAATTTTATTACGCTCAGTTATGACGATTTTTTCTTCATGGGAATTGTTCTATGTAGGTGTTTGCTTGTTTGAAGTGTGACCCATGACGTTGAAACATTTTCAAGAACACCATATCTGAGGTTTCGGGTTTTGATGTAACAACGTACATGTTCCAGAAATATCGCCTTTGTTTATATTTGTCAGAAGTGGCTTAGTATAGTGGAAGTCTAAGGAGATTTATAAATATTCCCAAGAACAATAATTGATATGGGTGTAAGTTGGGTGCAAAATAACTATAAGGTCTCCCTGGCTTTAATTGTTACATGATAAAACATATTAGACATTTTTATGAACTGGTATAAAGTATGAGACTTCCTACATCTGGAAAAACTTTTTCTCATTTAAAGCAAAAAAGCACCCTTCTGATTCTAATGGATCAAAGGGTACTAATATAAGAGATGTTTAATGGGAAGATAGGATGGGGTGAGGGGGTACCAACAAAACCCATACTGTTGATGGAATGACACAATGCCAGGCTGACATTTTATAATCTCAAAAGATAAACTTTCAAATCAGTGTGACATTTCATGAGAAATTGGTGTTCATGACACTCTAGATTATCAGTTCATTTTATTGCAGGGACATTTACAAAAAACTGAGTCTCATGAGGTCTGTTTCCCCTTAGCTGTAGAGCTGCAAATAACAAGTCATTTTTTATGCTTTTCCAACTGTCATCATTATGTCACATTAGCCATGTAGGGGCAGGATGTTTTCACTACCCTCATATATAATAGCAAACATGGGGGTCAGGTGTGAAATGTAAAATAGTGTGAAACGTTAGAGTGAAATAAGCATGAAATTTAGAATAAAGGAAAAGAGTGTTATAAGCAAGGAATATAGTAAAACACGTTTGTTTTAAAAAGCAATTTTTCACATTCATCATGGAAAGGGACTTCAAATCCAATGACAATTTTTGATGATGATATTTTGTTGTTTTTTAAAATGTGAACCATCTCAAGCATCTTGTTCATAAAAATGTTTCCATAACTCTTATAAAGGATATTACATTTGTTGTATATGTTTGGTTTATTCCTAAAACATGCCTTTTAACGCTTTTAATTTTAAAGATATGTTTGGAAAAATAGTCCAGGGAAATTTCACTTAGGGTAAGTATAGGATATCAGTCTAGCGTGTGTCATGTCAAACTAATGTAATAAACAGAAAAACATTTAAGAGGTTTGTTTTTATATGTGGTCTTTTTGATCCCACTAAAAGCTATTGACAGTTGATCCTACTTGGCTTGGCTTCATGTCACCCTTGATATATCTGTTTCATAGATTTGGAGGTTGCGATGGTTTCAGGGGAAAACTTTGCCTCAATAATTTGCCTCAATAATTTGCCTCAAATTATGAAGTTGCCTCAGCTTGCATTCAATGTAGGACCTAAGGATCAGAATCCTGCTAGTCAAAATGACATTACGGACCAGTTGCAATGTTATTTTCCTATACCCAGTGAAAAAATCAACTGGTCCATATCAAAAGTAACCTGGTTATGACCAGCGGACAGGCCCTTAGGGCCAACACTGCTTGCATTAATTGGGAAGTCCTGGAGACACCATTATTTTTGTGATTTGCTTCCTACGTTTCATTAGAAAGCACATGAAAACCCCTTCAAATATATTAAGGAGTGAAATGAGCAATCAAAAGTAGCATTAATAATATAGAGACATGCCTGTTGTTTGGTTCAATAAAAGGAAGGTTATGTATACATATTATTTTATGTACAGTATATAGTAGTCCATTATGTGTGCATGTATGACATCATATTGTCGCCTGCAGGAAATCTTTTACGAGGTCATAGTGTTTGTATTAATACTGTCAATATGGTTAAGTCCTCTAATATCCAGAGTTCTTAGGGTTCTCTCCAGGATTCCATCCAAGTCCAAGTCAGGGTACAAAACTAAATTTTTCCCTGCACTTATGCAGAAAAAAACTGTAAAACTAGTGTTATTTCGTTTAAATAACTGATCAATTCTTCAATACTTTGCTTTTCAAACATAGATTTTTTCCGAATCAGAATATAGAATTATTGTACCATTTCTGTGTAGAAAGATCTCAAAAACTTATGCCAGATATTGTCAAATTCTCCCAATGCCCACTACTTTTGTTGTTTTGAAATTAGATACATTCCAACTAGGGGCATGTAATGTTATAGGTGCTCAAATTCCCTACATGTGCACAGGATGCAGCACTTTCAGCTTCTGTGATCACCCATGCTGTGAAAACCACTCAGGCTGCAATGATTTTATTCAACAATCCATTTTGCCTGTTTTGGTCAGAATACCTTATTCCTCATTATAATAGCATGTATTGATTTTCAACAGGCATGTAATTATCAAATTCAACAGATAGGGTGCAGCACTGCATCTAGTTGCTCTAATCTCACATAGATAACTGTTTAGTTTGCCCTTGAATTGTCATAGAAAAAACACTTAAGTGGAGTCGTTGACTTTCAAAATAAACATCACCATCAGGAGCCCATTGCACTGTATGTCTTTCATCTTGAAAAAACAGAGTTAATGTATTTTTAGAAATACAATACTATAACACACTGTACTGAAGTTGTCATCTACCACACTTATAAAGTCTCTTGGGGATTACTATTGTATCTTGGCTCTTGCAGTTGTTGTATTATGAAATCCAGTTGTTTATGAAAAGAAAGAAATCAGCTTTTATGAATGAATATATTTGAACCAAATGATTTTCATTGATTTCAGTTGAAATGTTTTTGTCTCCAATAGATCAACTTAAGTAGAGAATGGGAATTATCCTTATTGATATGTATCTTTATTTTTGTGTTTTGAATATTACTGCAGGTAGTGAGAAACATTTGTATTTCTTCCTATGCCCAACCTCCAATGATTGAGATTTACATTGCCAATGATCTATATATTGTGTTTGGGTCCATAAGAAATATTTGCATAACATTTTACTTTCTTTCCAGCTTGCGGAGGCAACAGTTTTTACAGAAAGACGTAAACTTAGGGCTGCCTTAAGAAAGTTAAAGGAGAAGAAAGAAGGTAAGAGATTCTCAGAATATGATGTTTTGATGCCTAATAACTTTTTTTAAATTTAGGAAAAACAGACAAAGTATTAAATTAATTGATTTCAAATTATTAATTCAAAAGTTCTTTTAATTATATGTACTTGTTCTCTTAAAGGTTCAAATGGTTTTGTACATGTACTATAAATTCAAATGATTTTATAATTTACCCCACTGACATTCCCTTGTAGACCAGACAATGTGCATTTATTTAAAATAGGGAATGGAGAAGAAAGGCCTTTTCACCTCAGTATTTACAAAGTCACATTTAGTCATTTACAAATGAAAATGTTATTCTTTTCATCTAGAGTAATGTACTTTTATGCCTATTAATTAACCCAAATAGGAGAACATAATTTTACTGATCCTTTCTCGGCATGCTAACTGGCTAACTGTTCACAAATATAGATTCTGAAATAATGTACCATTTTCAGTTTTGGCAAGAGTACAAATGAACAGGTTTCATCTTTGTTTTTATATTGTTTTTGCATGTGCCAGCTCACTCTGAGTTTGGCTTTGACATGTCAAATACACATATGTTTTATCAAATTAATGTCTTGTTTGATTTATGGCAGCAATTTTATGAGGATTTTTCAAGTTCATATTTCAGACTCTTCAAGTTTTTGAAATATGAGATCTGGATGCTGTCCTGTTTTTAATTAGTGTCTCACAATGAGTTATTACATCTGTGACATCACCATTGACATTTGGAAACAGTTACCCTTTATCAGAGCCTTACTTAGACTGCCCTCTAAAGAAACAATTTTCAATTTACCTTTTATCCAATCAGAATTACTCGTCAGAAAATGACTATCCAATCAGAAAGCGGAGTCTTTGCATTTATCTGTTTACACGTAGCTGGACATAATTTCACATTCAGATTCTTGTTTTTGTTTTTTGTAACCAATGTTTAGTGCAAACAGTCATAGGCATCTGTAACAATTGTCACACTCTTCTAACATTTTGCAGGTGGTGACATTTTACCTTATGCTTTTTTACTGCTGTAGACTTTATTTTTTATTCAAAGGTCATTTCTTCTTAACAACCCCATGGAGTTTAAGTAGATTAAGTTCAATGGTTTGTGAATAAGTACATGACATACTGACTTTAAATTACCATTTATACTAGCTAATGTATACAACTCATGGCCAGTACTTAACCAACCCTGTGACTGAATTAAGTTTTTGTCATTTTTCCAGTATTTTCATTCATTTTTTGAGGCCACCATAAGACCTTGGATGACTTGCTGATAAAATTATTTTAAAATATAAGCTCCACTTTGTCCCTGTTATGTATATAACCTGGGTGGTATTTTTTTGTATTGTGGTATATTGAACTTCTAGTACAGTAGTACAATAATATATATATACAATTACAAGTACTGTATACCCAAAAAGAAATGAAAATTAAAAATACTTTGTTTTTGTTCTTATGCAAAGAATCAATGAAATTCAATAATACATTGGATCAATAACACCTAAGGCACATTTTTGCTTTTGACAATAATTGTAACTTTTCAGCTTTCACTTTTCATATGAAGCCACACACATATTTAAGAGTGTTCACAAGAATATATTGCATTATTCTCTAAATATACATGTGCTGAATAGATGTTAAGACTGAATTAATCAGTATCGTTCATATTAACAATCTGTGGAACAGCCAAGAATTTGCAGCCATTTTCAAATATTATTTTCCCCAAATGTGACTTTTTGTTGATGTTGTAGTTGTTGTTATTCATTTCAAATTGTAATTTTTTCATTGTGGAGATGTCATTTTATTGTTTGCCAGTTTTAGAATTGATATTATATTAACAGTTCAGTATTATGCACAACCTTGAGAAATTTCTTGGATTGAAGTGACGGGAGAACCATTGTTTACTACATGAACATAGCAATTTGCTAATTGTTTTGTGGCAGTAAAACCTGTGTAAATGGAACACTATTGGGACCACAAAAAGTGTTCTACTAGTTTAGTGTTTCACTTACAGATGTATTCTTCTTGACAATTTTATTGCATTTGCTAATTATCAAAAAACTTGACCTCAAACCCTGAGGCGATACCATGCCATGTGGTATTGCTGTGCATAAAACTGAGCTATTGTTGTTTTATTGTTGTTGTTTTTGTTTATACTAAAAAGTTGTTATCGTTTGAATTGTTGCATGTGATCAGCTGAAGCCGCCAAAGCAAACCAGAAGGATTACAGTGGTATTGAAGACATTGACCAACTACAAGTATTGGTATGTTGACCCTAAACATGTTTTAATGTACCCTCTGGTCCAATTGAATCTGTGCGTCATAATGCAATGCTCATAATTTTTGAAACCATATAATTTCATGCTTTCAGGGTTTGATGCCCTATACATTATGTTATGAGCATTACATGATGACACGCAGATTTTTTTTGATCAGAGAGTACCCTTTTTAATTTATGATTTTGCCTCTGTAAAAGAGAGAGTTTCATCTTCCTAATTGCAAGACTCTGGGACTCAGGGTAGTTTTAATGTTAATTAATGACAGGATTTAGTCTTGCATCAAGTCCTTTGTATATTCAATACTGTTTCACAAGACTTTGGTTTGTAGTCAGTGTCAGGTTGGGTTAGATTGGAGGCTTGTTGCAAGACTTGATGCGGTTGCAGGTATTACTATTACATTGGTGTCCTTCCAAGCGTCCTTTTGCATTCTGTATTCTAGATTGTGAACATTTTGAATATTGTACTTTACCATGTTTACTAAATTTGATTTGATTTTTGCATGGAGTTTTGTGGTGTTTGTTATGAAACATGAAAGTACATAGAACTTGAACGTACATAGTACTTGAAAGTACATAGAACTTGAAAGTACATAGTAATTTATGTTTAATCCTTTTATGTTTGTATAGTACTAAATAAACAAATACATATGAAATTAGATAATTTAAATTATTTGTTTTTTAATTTAATTCGTTTCCAGTTGAATGATGCACCCAACTATGATGAGAAGAAGCGAATCCGAGCACAAATGCGGGAAGTCAGAAAGAGGCTGCGAGAAGGAACAGGTACACAAATTGATTAAATGATGACCTTCCCCACCCTCTACATGTTATTATGTAGTGTACATTATTTCATATACAGTATATGATACATTAGGGAATATGTAATATGAAATTGTTAATTTGAAGTTAAATACAAGTTGTAGGTTAAATATGAGGGGAGTATATTGTGCTAGTTAATTGTTGATATAAAGTTGAAGTGTATATAATCCATAATACAAGTACAAGTTCATTGTTTCTAAAGTAGGGAGATACCATTCATGTGACCTTTTCATAGTTTCTTAGAAGCTGTTTTGTTCACCTGAACGTGTATAGTTGAGGCTATTGATATACTGGCAGATCTGCCCCCTTAAAATAAGCCAAAAATATGTTTTCATCTTGGGTTTGAAGAAATGAGAAAATTGACCTTTTTCTGTGGACCTCAAAAGGTCTCATATTTTTGAAAATGGGTCCAAAATGTCCCAGTTTGTCATCAGATTTGCACTCATCCCCACTGCAAGCACTTAATGTGTCCAATTCCCAATTTCATGTCATACCCAGTTGAAATCCAGGCTAGTAACTTAACTCCATTTGAGAAAATCATAAAATTAAACATTCAGATTTTTTAACCAGTTGCTGCCATTTCGGTCAGAATGATGTCACATCATATATGATGTCAGTTTAATGATTTTAGAAGTTTTAAAAGACATTTATCTTATAGACATTGCTACGTAATTAATAACTGTAACCACAATTAGAAAAAGTTAATGGGAACTTGTTAATATAGATGTTAAAATAGATTTGACACATTGATATAGATTTGACACATTGATATAGATTTGACACATTGATACACATTTTTCAAACTTAACCAAACACTGGTCAGTTTTATAGATACTCCAGTGCCACACGTCAAACTTTTCACTTGTATATGTAAATCATTGAGAATTACATGAGTTTAGAGATAATTGTATCTAATCTATAGGGAGTAATGCAAAGTACTTCACACTTGAAAGTTGACCATGTTTCTACTTCAATATACCCCCTCAAATTATACCACATTTTTGTGGATATTTCAGTCATTTTTAGTCACAGTTATTTTAAATATTTATTGGTTTGTATATTTTCAAAATATGAAATTCTTATGTGTTAATTTAATTTAGTAATGATTTTCATCTATGTAGTTTAACATTATATTATTCCATTTCATGATTAGATTTTTATTAAGGTTGATACGAGTGTTACTTGGTTGTAAGAATGTGTCACCAATTGTAAATCATAACATCATATGTCACTTTGTACATTTTTATTAGAACTAGTACATTGTGTTTTAGCCTAATGGTCAAAAGGTATGGTGTCTCATAGCTCCAACTTCATGAAAATGAGAAATAACATCCATTGTGCTATCTTCATGTGAAGATGAACTTGTATTTTATCATTGCATGACCTATGTCTGTTATGTCATTTCATCAGCTCTCATTGGTTGAAAATATATTGTTGACCATGTTGCTAGGAAACAAAATGAACAATAAAGAATTTGGGCATTTTTGTATCTTAAGGGTTGTGTCTGGCATGGATATTAACTTATGAAAAAGATTTAATAATTGATGTACATGTATACCATTATGGTATTTTGTTTATATATAGTTTTTTTTTCTTGGTTGTGGTCTGTATGATATATGCCTCATTTGACCAGGTCATGTCCTTCTTATCATTGTAGTGTTTCAGTAAAAGTATTCTGCTTAAACTGAGTCCCTACTCCTTGATAAAATTTTTTACTCGGATAGTTCCATTAAAGTTTAGTGATACCTTCAAACATTTCCTAAAGCAATGCTATGTATTTCAACTTTTTTTTATCAGAGAGACCAGTTTTTTTTATACTAATAGTTCCTCAGTAACATGAAACTACTCAGGAACTGTTTAGGCTCAGTACAGGTTTCACTGATGCCTAAAATACTATCCATCTCAAAATATTGACCAAAAAGACCAGATGATATCCTTTTCAGGGGCGGATCTGGGAACCAACAAGGGGGGCCCAAATTGCAGGTCAGAGAAAAAAACCTTTTGGGCCCAAAAACGCAAAAGTGGGCCCAAATTTTGAAATTTTGAGGCCTATTTTCTACAAAATTTAGTAATGACCAAAAAGGCCCACTTTTTGGGCCTGTAAGGCCTTTTTTGGTCTGGGCCCACCCAGGGGGGGGGGGCTGGGCCCCCAGGCCCCGTGTTTTTATTATACTTGCAGTACTGCAGTAAAATTAAACTACTCATGAACTCGTATAGCCTCTGTGTTCAGGTTTCACTGATGTTGTCAAACATTTTTATTTACAATGCGTGGTCATGTGTACATAATACATGTATATGTATCTAAGTATCTCACCTTTTCATCAGAAATATTTTCATTTATATGAAAATTATCTTGAACAAATAGAGGATCATGTTATACATAATGTAGATCACTTGTCCAGATTAGGAACAACTCATGAGTGAAATATCATGCTTATCATGTTTTTAAATGTGAAAATCAGAGGAAAAGAGAGGACTGAATAAGTAATAAAATATACAGGCATAAAGTATAAGCTCTAAATTATATAGAAATTCTGGAAAATCATCCATTTCATTCAAAATTTGTAGAGAAAATATATGAATTAGCTTTACAGTTTAGATATGTTTTGAAATATTAGGATAAGATTTATCAGTTTATATCAATCTGAAGTTATTTGAGAAGTAAATGAAAGCTAAATCTATATCTGTAACATAAAATATACTTACTTGTATCCAGGTTTTAATCCTCTAGAAGTCATCAGCTTGGGTCCTCTGGACAACCTAGTGCATGATATTTAACAAAGGGAAACTATAAAGGGCTCAAAATTGTTGCCATTTATTGTGTGTCAATTAATTTGTCTTTTATAATGGATTATTTAGGAACATCATCATCAGCTCCAGCTAAATCTGAAACGCTTAGAGACACTTCTAAATCTATCACGAAAGACACATCTAGGGTTGACACATCTAGAAAGGACACACCTAGTGCAATAAGGGAGACTGCAACTCTGAAAGGTGATCTTTCTTATATGTTGAAAGCATTTTTAGCATAGGATAATACTGAAATGTTAATCAGTTTACCAATTCAAAAATGTTCAACCAGAGATAGTTTTGCATTGTGAATTTAAACAATAATATATGTATATGGAACTTACTTCATTTTCCCATGCAGTAATAGTTGATTTGTTAAAAATAATATATGCAGGGAAAGCATAAAGGGTAACACTAAAACACAAAGTTTTAAAGCTATTTGATCAACAGAATTATACTTCAAGCAATGCACAAAGATGAAGCCCTCTGGATAATAAAAAATATAAAAATCAAACCATGTCACTAGCATGAAATTTATTTTCTAAGAATTTCTGAATTCATATATGGAGTTCTAATAAATTACTAAATCTTAAAAATCATTCCAGAGAAAACCAAGGTAGATACTGAATCAGTCACTTCAGTTAAATCAGCTCCACCAGCCCCTGAACAAAATGGTGAAACTCCCAAGGAAGAAACTTCTGATAAACCTGAAGAGGTTCGTAATAACACCAGTGAGGCCCCTTCTAAACAGAGCAAAGCAGTTGCCGATGTGACAAATGAGGCTCCTTCTAAACAGAGCAAAGATAGTGAGAAGGTGACCAATGGTGACGCTGATAATCTCGAGGATATACAGAGTATGCCCATCTTGGAAAAATTGGTATGTTTACTCCATGGTCATCTTAATCTAAATACTCTAATTATGTCACCACCACAAGTGGGACATATTGTTCATGGACTCCAATTTTTGTGGATGGTGGTTGGTGTTCGGCGGTTGGCATCTGTAACAAATGGCAAGTAGTGACATTTTGGATGTTAATGCCTTGTTCATGTTTAATTTAGATTCTGAATGAAAGGTTAGGAGGTTCATTTTTCTTTGAAGCGATAGTGAAATAATGAATAATGATCACAATCAAATGTTCTTTGACAAAGGTTGGTTAAAACTTGTGATTTCCTATAAAGAAACCTTTTTAATTGTCAATGATGAATTATTACAGCTTGATGATTATGAACTGGAGGTAAGATTCTATTGGTTACCAGGCTTGCTTTGTAGGGCTTATTAAAGTTGATATACATGTATCATCTCATCATCAACCATGATGGACATATTAACAATGTTGAAGGGTACAAAATATTAGTGTAGTCCTAGAGCTGAAACCAATTTTCACTTCAGCATCATTTGAATTGAACATAATCATTATTAATCTTTTCTTTTAGCTCTAATACACATAAAACGTATCATTTCACCGCTTTTATTTGAAGCATGCATAAGCTAGAAAAATATAGATCTGTATTTATAAATTCAGATTCACTTTCTACTAATACAAACACTAGTGGATTCTCTGATTTAGTCCATTGCTTATTTGGCCTCAAAGCAGTATATTGTGTTATATTGATATAGAGACTCTACCTTAAGGGTGGGGGCTCACATTTCTTTCTCAGGGTGGTCAGTTTCTACTAACAAAACAAACTAAAGTCGAACACAGAGTGAACTGTTTTGGTTTCACTCATCCCCAGAAGCTTGATTTTATTTAGCTGGTTATTCGGTATAGGTACTGTCCAAATATTATTAATGTTGGCTTAATTCTACATTTCAAGGTCCATTCTGAGAATTTATTAACCATTTTAAAATTGTGTTGTTCCCTTCCATCTTTGTTCCATCTTTAAGCCAATGGGGGGGTGATTATTTGTACTATCCAGGATATACTGAGCAAATATTTCATTCTTTGAAGGGCAAAACCTGTTCATCTTTCAATGATTTTTGCAGCATGTATTGCCCGCAGCCCGTAGGGCGAGAAATACATGCTTTAAAAATCATTGAAAGTGCAACTGGTATTGCCCTTCTTCAAAGAATGAAATATTTGTTTTATTATATCATTGCTAGACATTCTCTGTGATCATTTATTTTAATCAATAATTATATCATAAACCCAGAATGCCTAAGTTAACATAATTGCGTCATTGTACAGTACACTTTATTTTCGTCCAGTGCAGTTGTCAGAATTCCCGGGCGGGCAACACACTGGGCAATACGTCTTTTATTATCCTAAAATTGAGGGAGCTGTGAAATACGCTATGGTATTTTTGATCACATGGTACTGAATCAGCCAATCAAATCACGCAATATCTAGCAAGATATAATAAATATCAGTATTGGTTTATGTTATTTAGTTGGAGGATACCAAGGATTTCAGCAGAAGACGAGAGATTCGAGCAGCTATGAGGGAGTTACGTGCCAAGATTAAAGGTAACATTGATACCAGTTGCCATGGAAATGTTGAGTCATACAGTTAAGAATCAGTCGTCAATAATTATCCCAAATTTTCTCAATGGATTCATAGTTCTTATAGCCAAAAGTTTTGTTTTATCAATCATTGATTTTTACATCACATTAAATGTGCAAAAACTTTATGATTAAAAGATGCAATGCAATGTCCTTGTTGAGACCATCTACCTTGACTTAAGAATTGTATCAAATGTGTAATGAGGAAGCTCAACAGTTACATTTTATATTACAGAGGGTGTTATGACAGTTGCAGAAAGACCAACCACAGAAATGTCTGTCACACAAGGTGATGATGGCTCTGTCACCATGAGAGCCAGTAGTGTCACAGAGGGTGGCACACGAGTTGTCAAGACAACTGTCAAACACTCCCGCACTCCTAGCCAATCAGAAATCACTGAAAAAGACACAGTTGTAACCACAACAACAGAGGTACCAGGATGTGGTGATTTTGCCGAAACTGATCATATTGTGACAAAACGAAAAGTCACTTCGAGGAAATCCGAATACTATGACTCGCAGGCGACATCAACGAAGACGCTTCATACACGGTCTGGTTCAGAATACACAGAAATGGATCTTGTTCAGGAACATGAGGAAGAGTCAGTCTCTAAGGATGAACAGAAGGCAGATAGGACGCACACTAACGTCATTGTGAGGAAGCCTAGTGTTGAAATGGTACTGGATGATGCTGATACTGATGTGTTCACTGAACCTGATATTGCAGGTAAATTTAGACCAATAGATCCCATACACAATTTTTAAGCCAATATGATATTTAAGTTTACCAAAATACCAGTATACTGTGTATAGGTTATTTACTGGGATCTAATGGAAGTAGCATCTAGAGGTGCATTTTTAAGTAATATTATATAATGATGGCAGAACAAGAGGTTGCCTTGCATATCACTTATTTTTGCATTGCATTATGGGATGTATTTCAGTGGAGCTACTGGAGGCTTTGAGTGATGTCACAGTGACAGAAGGGGAGGTGGCTACCCTACAATGTAAAATACAGGGCCCAAAAGAACCAACTGTTACATGGTATGTCACATGGACTCTTTATTTTGAGATATTTCTTTTCTGCTAAAAAGCTGTTTTGGTGGCTTCTTGTCATTATATGTTTTATTTGAGTTAATCTTTGGGAATGTAATATTTGATTTGTTAAAGCAACCTTTGTTTGTGAACACTTTTTGGTCACTGTCCCCTCATGCGTATAACCTCTTCATGTAATTGCTTTTCCATGGTAGCCACTAGGCATCCTCACCACTGTTTATTTTTAGAAACATGGCCTGTAATTGGAAAAAGTGAATGGATGATGGAGCAGCTGATTTCTTCTAGAAAATTTGGCAAATCTGCAAGATTTATTGAGAAAGGCTTGAGAAAGGTTAAATCTTTTATAACCTCAAATATACCTGTTTTCTCCTGTAGGTACAAGGACAGTGCAGAATTGAAGGAAACCCCCAGTATTAAGCAGACATTCACCTCAGGTGTGTGCCAGTTAGAGCTGAGGGAGACATGTGTGGATGATGGGGGACAGTACACATGTAAGGTTGCCGGGGGCAACACTGAGATGTCAACAACAGCAGGCCTCATAGTCAATGGTAAATATGCATATGCATTTCAAAATGTAACTTATAGTACATCATGGATTGTGGACATTTACATTCTTTTTGAAAATGTGAAAAACTCACTTGAAATATGGCATAAATAGTTGCAAAAGCTATAAGGTGCATACACTTCCACATATGTTCAGATTTAGTTGAAAATCTATGGTTTACTTGAAAATGTGTATTGAAAGCATGTGTGATTTACTTGAAAGTATGTGATTTCAGCAAGAGAAGTTGCCCCTAAATTCATCAAAGAACTCTTGGACCAGACGGTAGATGATGGTGCAAATGTCACATTTTCCTGCAAAGTAGAAGCAAATCCTCCACCCACAATCATATGGCGCCATAATGATAAGCTCATCAAAAGTAACGCTGATTTCAAGCAGATGTTTTCTCAGAATGAGGCTAAGATGGTGGTTAATGAGGTCTTCCCAGATGACAATGGAAAGTATACATGTATTGCGAAGAATTCAGTAGGAGAGGCATTGACTATGTGTACATTGAAGGTCTTAGGTGAGTGCTACTGTATATTTTACCCTACTATCACACCAAACTAGTTCTCACTACGTTCTCGAAAACGGGCTTCAACTGTGTACGAACGGACTGGACCTACTAAGAACCGTTTGGGATCTATTTACAAATTTCATCGAACGTACTCGAACGGGTAGGTCCTCTAGAACTTTAGACAATGCTCAAAATGTTCTCCTGGTCGTCACGTTCTACAATTAGAACGAGTGACAACGTACTAACGACGAGCTGGACGTACTACGAACGGAACCGTCATACTTGAATCCTACTAGGGACGTTTTAACAACGAGTTGAACTGTCTGATGACGTGTTGAGAACGAGGTAGAACTAATTGCAAATGGGTTTAAACTGATTAAGAACGTATTTAACACTGCTTATGAACTAGTTAGCAAAAACATAGCTATCACACCAAACAAGTTGCCACTGCGTTCTTCAAAACTGGTTTTAAACTGCGTGCGAACGGAATGAACGTAGCTGCAACTTTCTAAGGTCTATTTACGAACCTTATGAACGTTCTCAGACGGGAATGTGATTTTAGAATTTTGAATCGATTCAAAATTCGATGGCGACCATACCATTCTGTAATCAGGTCATGTTGACCTTCTAGACTAAGGGACGCGTTCTACTACGTTGCACACCGACGTGGTGCGACCTGAACGAACTGCGAACGAGATGGACGTATTGAAGACTGTTTAAGAATGAAGAAGCTAATTATTTCTGACATATTTCCCGACCACAGCCAGACTGAGCCCGTTTTACGACGTTTTTGTAGGACTGGCAAGAACGGGTAAGAACTAGTTTGGTGTGATAGGGGGGTAAAGGAAACTTCTTGATGCGTGCCTTAAAGCATGAAAGGCAATACAAGTAAAAGAGAGCACATGAGAAATCTGTAATTATACAAAATTATTAAAATTCATCTATGGCCGGATACTCTCAACCAATCAAATTGTGCATTTTTTTTTTGTTAATTATCGCTCATCTATAAATAACCAATACGAGTATGTAACCACACTGTTAGATACAGGGGTGCTTCATTCATAGGTCAGACTCAGAACTCAAACCACCTCAGCATTAACACTTCATCACTGTTGAATCCTACACACATTAGACAACAGTCTAAATGATTGATTTGGTTTCCCTTTGAAAATGGAACTTAAAATATATGTACTGAACAGTGTATTTGAAAATATATGGTTTATGCTGAAACACATGCCTATGTAAGATTTACTTGAAAATATATGAAAATTATGAGAAGATTGGACTTAGGAAAGACTTCTATTAAAATGTACTTAACTTTGTGATTTAATTGTCAAAATATATTATTATAGCCCAAGAAGTTGCCCCTAAATTCATAGAAGAACTCTTGGATCAGACAGTAGATGATGGTGCAAATGTTACATTTTCCTGCAAAGTAGAAGCAAATCCTCCACCCACAATCATATGGCGCCATAATGATAAGCTCATTAAAAGTAACGCTGATTTCAAGCAGACGTTTTCTCAGAATGAGGCTAAGATGGTGGTGAATGAGGTCTTCCCTGATGATAACGGAGATTATACATGTATTGCGAGAAATTCAGCAGGAGAGGCATCAACTATGTGTACATTGAGAGTCTTAGGTGAGTGATGAATGCAACAGTTGTGTATCTATAAACTATAAATCCACCATATATACTCATTTTATTCATAATGATTTATACAAAAAATATTGAAAAAATCTTTTGTAACAATTATTGATATTCCTGAACTCCATTCCTAAAGAAAATGAATCATGTTATTTTTTGACACACATACATTTATGCAATTTAAACTCTCTTCTTATCCTCGCTTTGTAAGTTCCTTCTATACTAACGATGACATTTTTGTTTATATTAAATTTGAATATTTGTTTGTTTTACAGAAGATAAGCCTAGCATCCCAGAAGTGATAGAAAAACTAAAGAACACGTCATTCAAAGATGGCCAAATTGATGCGACACTTCAGTGCGTCTTAAGTTCATCCATGACGCCATCTATCATGTGGTACAAGAACAACAAATTTCTGAAACCATCTGAGGATTTTCAACAAACATATAAAGATGGCGTTGCAAAGCTTGTGATAAGTGAAGTTTTCCCAGAGGATGCTGGGACATATGAATGCGTTGCTATGGCAAATAATGAAGAAGCCTCAACAAAGTGCAAGGTTAATGTTACAGGTAAATAAAAAATGTTGATTTTTGAGTATTTGTGAAAATATTTTCTGATTTGAGAAATTTTAATCTCAGAATAGGCATTTTTGGTCATTATTGTCTAGATACGGTATTTCAAAAATTAATCTTTTTGAGCTCTCTCATATGATTGGTCAAAATGTAATATTAGTGTTAGTGTAAAGGACGAAACAAAATAACTTTTGAGCCAAACTGAAGTCTATGTATAATGCCCCTCCTAAAATGTATTTTGTAAATCAATCAAACAAAACAATTTTTCTTTTGAAATGATTAATATGAGAGGTGTCACACCAACCTGAAGACGACTCGAATCTTGGGTCAGAAGTCTCAGTTTCAATTTCCAATTTACCAATTTCGCGTCGGGTCAGAACACTCAGGAATATCGTAAATTTTCGTAAAATGCTTTATTATTCCCAGCAAATTTTTCAAACTTCTAGCTGGCCTATTTCTTGTATATAGATAGATCACGAACAAAAAATAGTTTACAGTTCTTCTCTAATGATTTAATGCTAAGTTTCTATCATTTCCTTTATCAAAGCATAATATGCAGTAATGCAGGCTTAAACAGTCTTATACTATGGCGTGTATTCATCCAGTTGTTTTAGATGCTTGTACTAAATTAATTTTTCTGTCTTCTGACCCAAACCGAAATTATCCGACCCACACACCTTTTTTCTGGGCTGACCCGACCCAAAAGAATATCTGACCCGCGACACCTTTACTAAATATATTGGAACTCCAGAAATGGACCTTATGGATAATGCTTGTATTTAATTCACTTGTGATGGTGACATATTGTTATAGTCTCCAACATTTTTGTGGACAGCGGTGCTCAGCATCTGTAACAAATGGCAGGTGGTGACATTTTGCATGCTAATGCCTTGTCATGTCTTTTCAGAGATAACAATTCGTAAAATTGAGGCTCCAAAGTTCACTAAATATCTCAGTGACATAGAGGTCAAGGATGGTGACAGTGTGACTCTTAAGTGTCAACTCACTGCTGGAAATGGAACTGAAGTGAAGTGGTATAAAGACGGCAAAGTTTTACGATCAAGTAAAGACTTCAAACAGACATATATAGATGACGTTGCTAAACTGGCAATTGATGAAGTATTTGAGGATGATACTGGGAAGTACCGATGTTTCGCTAAAAATGAGTCGGGACAAGATGAAACTACCTGCACAATGACAGTATTAGGTAATAAAAATAACAGTTTCGAACAATGTTCATATTATAGTAGCAATGATACATGTATTTATGAGTATTAATGTTACAAATTTTAGAAATACAGAAATGTCTTTTCAACAATTTTGTAGAAAACAAATAATATCAAATTAAAGTACATGTACCAGTATATTAATCTTTATCAATCTCCAAATGTTGGGCTACTAAACTCATCAAACTGTTAAGTGATTTGGATATTAACACCCAGTATTTGGAGGTTGATTTACTTAAGCAATAGGATAGTTTCTAAATAGCAGAAAAATCAATGAAATCTCGTGCTGCCATCTTTTATTCAGCTTTTAACTTGGGCTAGAGCTCCATTCATTTACATGCTAAAATCTTGGAAAAGTGGCTTAATTTCATGATTTATCAAAGTGTGTTTGTTGAATCTGTATAAAACTTGAATGATATACCACATGATGACCCTGTTTATGTACATGATGTGATTAAACATGCAAATGTTGATTGACATACAAATAATCCACAGATTTAAAGAATTTTAGCATTGCATCTATGGACATTTGGCCCAAGTTTTTTAAATTGTTATAGAAAATTATTCAAATTACATAACTGTGTAAATCAAAGCTATTAAAGGAGAAAACATCTCACTGAATTCAAATATGCCATTTAAAATAAGGTAATGTAAGTCATTAGAGGTCTAATATGCAAGTCTCTTAAAACCTCATGAAAAACGAGATTTAGCGAGATTTCAAAAGCTATATGGAAACTATACTATTAAGTTTCATGAACATTATTTTACAAACACTTGTCATTTATCTGAGCATAAAATAAATCTTCATGAATTTTATTCCGTTGATCCAAACTTTGAATATTTTGACATACATATAGTTTGGTCATGTTTAGTCAAACTAAGCAAAGACAAATGCTTTCATTTTTCATACCAATAAAACTTAAATGACATTTCTACTCAAAAATGCATTTGACTTACAAATTATTTAAATTTTATGTTAAGTTCTAATAGCAAAATTATCATATCATGCTTAAATCAGACATTAAACTACTTCAGTGAATCATGCCTCCTTTTTGTTGTTATGTCATTCTTTAGACATAACAACATAGGGCAGATATAGGATGAACATACATGTATTGTAAATTTTAAAAATTCTTATCTTTTTTCAAATATTGCTGCCTGCAAATTATGATATCATAGTTCTTGCCAAAATAACCAAGTTTCCTTGGTTCACCAAAAGAGGTCAGCAATTATTGAAACAGTATGTTGTTTAATAATACCCCATAAAGCTTGAATAGAAGTACATGATGCAAATCTGTGCTTCACAGTATCTAGCACATTATCAGCACATTTTGTACAGTTAGGGGTTTCTTTTTTCTTCATTTTGAATAAACTATACCCATCCTCTTGAGGACCTGTTGTGTGTTCAAAGCCCAATGAATCAGAAATCCAATAAGAAATATTTGGTGGTTCAAATCTTCAGAGAGTAGATGAACTCTGTAGGGTGTAGGGTTAGGAAATAATTTAGAGAAACACTTTTGGTTTCATGTTTTAGAAGGTGATGTCACTCCGGATTTAGTTGATATGTTCAAAGGCCCATGAGCCATACATTAGATATTGTGTTACCATTATGTCTTGATTCAGTATAACATATATGTCATTGTGGCTTTCAGAGCCCAAAAAGATGTTTGCCCCTGATGAAAACCAGAACCAGCCAAAGATTGAAGATGTAGTGTCCACACTGAAAAAGGACAGCAAGCCAACGAATAACACAATAGAGAATAAAAGCAACAAACCCTTGAACAAAGACAACAAAATCACAAGCAATGACAACAAGGCAGGAAGCATTTACAACAATAAACCTACAAGTGATCATGTAAGTCTTTATGTCTAAGTTGCAGAGTGTATATTTGAGAGTGGTCTTGAAAAGGGGGCATATCACATGTGTTTTGTTTAGACCTCAAAAATCAATACACCAAAGATTAACGTTACTTTTCTGTTGTTTGAATTTGATCAGGACTTTTAAGTTAGAGATATGTAAATCTAATCCTGGATGGCACTCCTATACTCGCATCCATTCTGGGCATACATTCATGCACTCACTCTCACTCTTGGTACCAAATTCCATTCATAATCTCACTTAAGACTTTGTGCAGTTCGTCTTTTAGATTCTGTCTCAGAGAAGATGAATCAAGAGAACAAAATCTTATCCACTTATCTTAAATAAACTAAAATTGTACTAACATCTAATTCAATCTACAACCTGTACTTGCAATTGTAAAATCCAAGGTAATGGATTTGCTAAAAAGATGCTCCTGTAATAGGCCAGGCATTTGATTCTGTTCTAAAATAACAATGAAAGAAACTGTCCAAATATATAAACTACAATACTTAAGCAAGAGCCCTTTCAAAAAATGTTCATTTTAACACTATTTTTTTAAATGTACGAAAATCGAAAGATGAATTCTCACAAAAAATGTTGATTTTTCCGCATTGCCACAATTTTCATGACACAGATAATCATTTTCCTGTTGCATGTACTAAACAACTAATTTTATATCAGTAGCTAACTGGTCTAGTTAAGGTGGTCTTGGCAGTGGAACTTTTGACCATTTGATTCTAATATGCAAAATCATAATACACTGTTGCATATAAAAATTAAAATAAAATTAAGTGTAAAAATCATCAGTTAATTCTCTGTGATCTCTTATTCTTTCATTAAACCAGGTTTTATGTATAGTCCATTTAGTCCATAGTATCCTTGAAAGATTGCTCTTTGTAATTTTCAGAACAATACTCAGAAATACTTTTATTTTACATAGTTTAGAGAGAGTTAATAATAAAGATGTTTATAAATATGACCATGGTTGTTGATACATTTCATTGTTCAATATTTATATTTTAACTTTCAAAGAAGTGTATGTACATGTATAATTCATTCGAATGTCCAAGGAGTTACTTTATTTCACTTATTTAGTGATAGTTAATAACATAGTGGATTTCTATAATGTGTTCATGATTGTTGATACATATCATAATTTAATCTTTGTATTTTACTTCAAAGAGTTGTTCTCTCCAATCCACTACTAGAAGATTCCCCTGATGATCTATAGTCACTGCTATTGGAAGATACAGTCCATCATCCTTAGTGAGGAGGTGTTGTAGGAAGTTACCCTCTGAGCTGATTAAACTGACTCTATGATTCCAGTGGTCAGCTACTATGATGTGCTCTCCATCAGTACAAACACCATGTGGAGTGTGTAACTGTCCTTCACCTGATCCAGAAGTAACATATTGCAGCAGCTTCTCACCCTGTCTGCTCACCACTATAATACAGTCCCTCAACCCTTCAGACACAATCACATTGTTGTTGTTATTTACTGCAATGAACCAAGGCCAACAAAACAACTGAGTATCTGATGTTGTATGGGATACTTCACCAGTGTCATAGTTTATGTGTGATATAGTATTGGTATCCATATCACTAACAACTAATTCACCATCACTATTACATGCAATCCCATATAGATTGGTGAAAGGTGTGATGATGTCTCTTATGTGCTCACCATCTTGAGTGTAGATGTTGATGACACCACTACCATAACCACTTGTAAATGCTAGACAGTTATCAGGTGTAACTGTGACACATCTCATATTCTTCTGTATTGTCTTGATCAGATTCAAGTTAAAGTAGATTTCCACACATATTTTCCTTACAATTACTAGTCTATGTGCATCTTCTGCTACTATATCATTAAAGTGACTAGATTCTTTAGATCCTTTTAAACTGAGCCTCTTAATTTTTGAATATCTTAGCTTCATTGGCACAGGAATCCTCTGTGTAGAGGAACCAGGGAGAGAACTTCCAGTAGCAAGTGGTTTGCTGTCAGTTGGGGTCTGTAGAAAAGATGAACTTTGAACATCAAAACCACTAAGTACACTTGATTGTTTTTTATAACTTAATGGCTTCTGAACACTCTTTAGTGCTCTAGGTGTTTTTTCATAACTCAGTGGGCTCTGAACACTCTCATCACTAAGTATACTGTGTGGTTTTTCAAATGGGCTCTCAATACTCAAATGACCAAGGACACTGAGTGATTTTTCATAACTTAATTGGCTCTGAACACTCTCATCACTAAGTACACTTGATTGTTTTTTATAACTTAATGGCTTCTGAACACTAGTTAGTGCACTAGGTGTTTTTTCATAACTCAGTAGGCTCTGAACACTCTCATCACTAAGTACACTTGATTGTTTTTTATAACGTAATGGCTTCTTAACACTCTTTAGTGCACTTGGTGTTTTTTCATAACTCATTGGGCTCTGAACACTCTCATCACTAAGTACACTTGATTGTTTTTTATAACGTAATGGCTTCTTAACACTCTTTAGTGCACTTGGTGTTTTTTCATAACTCATTGGGCTCTGAACACTCTCATCACTAAGTACACTTGATTGTTTTTTATAACTTAATGGCTTCTGAACACTCTTTAGTGCACTTGGTGTTTTTTCATAACTCATTGGGCTCTGAACACTCTCATCACTAAGTACACTTGATTGTTTTTTATGACTTAATGGGCTCTCAAAACTCAACCTACTAAGACTGAGTAATTTTTCAGGGGGTACTGAACTCAGTGGGCTTTGAACACTCTCATCACTGAGTTCCCTGGGTGATTTTTCATAATTTGATTTATTACTCAATGGACTTGAGGCACTCATATTATTTGGTGCATTTCCTTGGCTCATTTGGCTTTTAGAACTTGTCTCTTCTGTAGATTCCTCTCCTACTTCATGGCCTGTTGGAGAGCTAGTGGAACTATGTTGATTAAGTACCTCTAAACATCCTAGATAGAAAGAGTAGAAAAATGGTGTAAATAAGGGGGAGAGTATTTGAAAACATTCTGCTTATTAAACAATAATCAGTTGTCATTTGTATAGGGCCATTCTCATATTTTAGACTTTAAGCTTGCAATATTTTTCACAATGTAACTGTGAACGCAAAGTTCATGAATCAATGCAGTAATGTATATAAAGGCAAAAATGCCAAAGGGAAGGGTGACTAAAAACTTTAAAGAAACCCAACAAGAAAAGCAAACTGTAAGTGTAAATCTGTCATAAGAAAAGTAGACCCTATTTATCCCAAAACCATGATATTACGTGAAAAGAAACAATGTCTAACATCCCCCTATATCACGGTGTTATAGCATGATGGTTACGTCAAGGCGGTTTGCAAAATATAACTATCAATGGCATATTAAAAGATGATGTGTAGTAGTCTAAATAGGACTAAACACTTAACCGAACAATTGTTTATGTGTGAAAACTACATGCATTTGTATAGGGCTATTTATAAACATTCAGGTAGGCGATCAGCCTGGGGGGTTGGTCGGTACCAAATCAGGGGAATAATGGCCATGGTGATTTTTGGGAAGGTGTACACCCCTAGAGTAAGAAAATATGTGATAGCATTGCAGAAGTGGCAGCTTAATGGGTGTTATCACATATTTTTCAAAATGGCCGCCGTTGCGCTTGCTACCAAATGAAAGAAGTTATATCTAAGCATACTGAGAGGCAAAATCAGTAATTTTAGGGTCTAATTCTTGGTTTTAGAGGTCACTGATTCGGTTTATGCCTAAATCCAAGTCATCAAAACATAAATTCATATGAAAATCCAAGATGGCCACCAATTTTGGTTCAAAAACAAATATATAACTAATGATACAAGCTAAAAACGTTTCAAAATGATTTTGAAGAGTTTTAGAAGAGGTTTTCAAGTCTAAGGATTTTATTCATGTCTAAATCTATGTCATAAAAGGATTACCTTATATGTAAATCCAAGATGGCTGCCAAAATAGGTGCCAAAGAACAGATAAAAAGCAATTTTATAGATCATGAAAGGGTTTAGAGGTTAATGATTTCACTTATGCTTCATTTTAGTCTTAGTAATCAAATAATTACTTTTCATAGAAAACCAAAATGGCCGCCAATATGGGTGCCAAAACGAACATGTAACTATTAATGTAAGCTCAAAGAATAGCTAAAATGTAGTTTTATAGATCATGAAAGGGTTTGGGGATCAATGATTTTATTGTCTTAGTTTTCAAAGAATAACTTGATGTCACCATTAATATAAGCTCAATGAACACTTACAGTACAAAGTGATTTGGAGACCATGTCTAAGTTTCAATGGTCAAGAGTTTTAAGTCAATGGCTTAGGTTTCAATGGTTGAGAACTTTAAGTCATCAAATAATTCTTTTATTTGGATATTCAGGATGGCAACCAAAATGGCTGCCAAAATGAATAATTAATTTTGGAACATATTCATTTGGATATCAAAGATGGCCCTGATGTGATGTACCATCTCAATTGTACTTTCTTCATCAAAATGATGAACTGGTTTATGAAAGCAGAGGAGTCCTAATATGGAGGTCTCAAAGGGAATGATGATACAAGACATCCTTCTTGCCGAGCCTTTATGGACATCATTAATGTTATGACCTAGTCATTCCGTGGAGCATAACGGATTTTAAGCTGCTTGGAGAAGATGAGATGTATGTAGTGCAATCCCAGGAATCTTTTCAACTGAGTGGTATACAAAAAGGAATATCCTTTGCATTCATTCGACTTCGCTTCTGAAAAGAGAGCTTCATCTAGTTTAACAAGACTCTGCGAGCAGGGTAACAAATGAAGCTAATGTGCAATTTTTCATACTATCCATGATGAGAGAATTGAATATATTTTGACAAAATATTTTGATGGGTCCCAACAACAGCATCTGTGAGAACTAGAAAAGTGGATGAAAGCTCCTGACCTTATATTATCAATGTAGGAAGTTGGTACATAGAGATTATCCTATATGAGGTTCAGGATATTGGGATTATTCCGAGGCCAATATAATATATCTGCCCGAGGGCCGTAGGTCTGTAAAGAAAGGACAAACTCAATCCAAGTCTACAATTACACAGAAGATAATATCTCGGATGGACTGAAGAGTGTCGAGTATGAAGACCTCATTGACAAAGTAAGGTGTAAAGGGTGGAAGGTGAGACACTTTCCAGTGCATGTAGGCTTTAGCGGCTTCCAATGTTCTTCTCAGAACATCATGTTGAGAGAACTAAGTCTGCAGCCTGTGAACTTCAAGATGGCAATAAAGGAAATAGGTTAGATGGTTGAGTCATGCTCCATGTGAATGTGGTAATTTATTTTGGCAGCCAGTTTGGTGACCATTTTGGATTTTAATATGAGGAAAGGTTAGGATAACTTAAGTAAAGGCTTAGTAAATTGAAACCATTATCTCCCGAAACCCAGTCTCAGATATCTATAACATAACTATTCTAATTTTTCTATGTGCTTATAAATTCATTTTTGCAGCCATTTTGGCAGCCATTTTAGATTTCTATATAAAGGTATTCTTTAATCACTTCAATTTACACATGAATGGAATCCTTAACATCTAAAACCTTACCATGGTCACCAAAAGCAACCGTTTTTTGAGTTTACATAAATAGTTACATATTCATTTTGACATCCATTTTGGTGGCCATTTTGGATTTCTATGTAAAGTAGTTCTTTGATTACTTAGATTTAGAGACAAATAAAATCCCTAGCCTCTAAAACCTTTCATGGTCTCCAAAGTCACTTTTAACCGTTCTTTGAGCTTTTTGAACTTATATCGATAGTGACATATTTGTTTTGACATCCATTTTGGTGGCCATCTTGGATTTCGAATTCTTTGATGACTTAGATTTTGACTTAAATAAAATCCTTGACACCTAAAACCCTGAAATAGACCTCAAAATCACTGTTTTTGTCTCTCAGTATGCTTAGATATAACTTCTTTTATTTGGTAGTAAACGCACCGGCGGCCATTTTGAAAAATGGGTGATAACACCCATTTAGCTGCCACTCCTGCAATGCTATCATATAATTTCTTACTCTAGAGGTATTTACCTTGCCAAAAATCACAATGAGGCTTATTCCCCTAACTTGGTACCGATAACCTAAATTTATGGGTGAAGCCTAAGGTTGTCATTTAGATTTTATATCTATTGCTTAAAGTCTCCATTATCTGCCGATCTACCCTTTGACCTCCCTTGACGACTGACTGGTACATGGTTGTCATCGGTAGGTAGAATTAGATTAAATTGTTGCAGCATTTAATTTTGTTTCAATAAATTGTATTTTATGCTGACTTATGCAATGTACTCAAAAATGTTAAAAGTGATAGAGGATTGTTACGTAAATAGAAGGGGTTAGAAGTGCAGGTATTAACGTTTTTTGTTTTTTTTGAAGTTCTATTTATGTTACAAAAGTGAGGTATTTTAAAATTGATGGTTCTGTTGTCTTTCTGAACTATTTGTTCGCAAACATGTACATTTTCTTAGACATATGATACTGACACATGTTTGTGATAAAAATGCCTACAACTAGTGAAATAAGGAAAAAAGAAAAACCATACTTTCTAGGTTCCGACATTTTGTTACTGAAAGAATTCATTTTGGTAAAAACACAGTCGAGTGGAGAACCAGTGAAAATAATTTACACCAACTCATAACATAAATCCTAACCTACAGTAATTTGTGTTGAAAAAATGAAGAAAATTGGTTGAAATAAAAGCATGAAATTACCTCATGAGCACAGAAAAGTGGTTCAGAGAAAACAAGCATTTTGAAATTTTTGTAAGGAATTTTCTGATAATTAATTTTTTAAATATCCATTTGCAGTGGCAGAGCTATATAACATTATTACATTTGCAGTTGCACTAAATAAGTTCCCTGAGATTTGTAGATTTAAGTTAGGTTCATTTGTGCTATATGTTGGGTGCATTACTTAGCGCCCCCTACTTTTATGCCCCATCACATATTTTTAATCTCCAGTCTTAATTAAACATTTTGTTTGAGGTTTTCCTTTCATTTTGTTTAGGTCAGATCACATACTAAATGTTGAATACAAAAAATGTATGCCAAAATGGTATACATTGGAAGCTACGATAATTTTCTGTGCCCTAGTTTACAATATGAACTGGACAAAATGAATTTACTAGTGTTTTACTCAAGCTTTTGAAATATTTAGCAAGTTGAAATCGAGTTGGATTTTCCTGGAGAATTACACCTCCACTCATGACATCACAAATATGTGCATAGAATCATAGATTGAATGGTTGAAATGATATAACTTATGCTTGATCTATTCAATAGAGTAGAGAATGTTATGTGTTTTAAAGTGTTAATTGTTATATTTGATCATCTAAAAATCTAAATTTTTGTTTTTAAAATGGCACGATATTGAAATATTTGAAAATTATAAGATGGCCAACTTTTTTCAAAAGATGCATTTTAAAAAAATGTCTCAAATAGTTTTTAAAGTCATGAAAAGTAATCGGCTTATATTATAGTAAACAAGGCATGTATTCATTTAGACTATTTTGTATGCCCGTGGTGTTAGTGAATTGTGTACACTCACACAATTCTTTTGAAAGACTTAACGGTTTATGCAATCAGACTCCTATGGTACACTAGCAACTAGGCGACACAGTTGACACATCGTAATTAGCGGTGTAAGTGCGCTTGAATGCGCTGTTTTTATTGAAAACGTGTGAGCCTGTAATTTGTAACACAGGGGCTCATCGTTCTTTTTCATGATACCTATGGGGAAAACTTATGCAATATACTGGCACCGTGGGCAGTTTAAAAATACAGTCTATTAGCCTTTTCCCTACTAGTAGAGAATCAGTATGTCAGCACAGTCATTGGTTACTAACATACTATGCATTTAAGTATGCAGAACATATCAATCCCCATTGCGTATAGAGTAAACTGAGTAAACGATCGAACATTTACAAAGTAAGGAATATGTAATAAGAAAGTATGATAGAACTTCAAAGAGTGACAAAGCCAAATCTTGCATTATATATATCACCACTGTTTAATGAAAATGTATGCATAATTATTCAAGGAAAATCTAAATTATAAAGGGATTTGTTATTACACCCAGGCCCCTGGGTGTTTCTTTCTTTATAATGGCTGCTACTTTTTGAAATGAAGGTACACATGAGCCAAGTACCTACCCATGGATTTATTTTTATGCTACTATGCTATACAGGAAACACAAATTAATAAACAACATGTATGGCAGCAGATAAAAACAAAATCTTTAACAAAGAATATTAATAAATATATAATATTGAGAGTTTTGAGTCAATCAATGGATGTCAAATTCAACGAAACACTAAATTCAACAGGAGGTTATGGAGGTTAGAAAAAACAATTAACCTGATTATGTTTAAAACCAGTTAATAACTAAATGTAAAGGCTCACCTTTATCCTGAGACAAGCATTCTTGAACTAGCTCGTCATCTATTGTTAGAGTAACTTCAATATAAGATCCAAAAAACTCCATTCTAACATCTTCTGGAATTAGCACTGTTACAAGCTCCATAATTAAATCTCCACTGTGAAAATCTTCTATCAATTTCACTGCTCTTTGTTGGTCAATAACCTTCAATTCGAATACTATTGAACTTCTTTTGGTGTCTAATAATTTCACATCACGTTGTGCCAATAGTTCTTCGATTTCTCGTTTTAATTTTGGGTCTGATTTCATCGCTGCATATATCTTATTTTCAAGCTCATTTTCATGATTGCCTTCACTGTTCTGTAGCTGTGATTCTTCTACATCATGAATCTCCTTGTAAGACTTTCCCAGATGAAAATGTATAGACCCTATATGATGAAAAAGTTTATTAATTGATTTAATGAATTGTTTTAGTTTTTTGACATGTTATACAAATGTGCAATAGCTTTAGTTGTTGAACTATCACATTTTGGCTATAAGTCTTAAGAATTTTATAAAAATATCTTAAATAAGTTCAAAATTGAGCCAAATACCCATGGTGCTATTTCTATTTCTGTTTCTTACAATTATATATAAGTTTGATAAAATGTCATTTTTATTGTTCAATAAATATCAGTACCTTTGAAATTTTCAGGAGTTGCTATCACTATTTTAATATCATCGATTTCTTCAATTTTAGTCTCGTTGTCAAATGCAACCTTGTAACATCGTTTCCCAGCTTCTTTTGGGCCACATGCTTAAGGATAAAAATAAATAGAACATATGTCAAAGACGCATTTATTTTCTACATATTACTACAGCAAAGGGAGATAGTCATCACGTGACATTAATTTTTTTTGATGTTGCGCAAACAGACTGTTATTGTATTCTATACTTAATTCACAATGTTGAGTCTTGTTTCACTTATGTATCTCAACTCAGTCTTTCAAACAAACCCAAAGAGCTGCATATTTTATTGCAAACAATTTCAAACAATTATATTTTGAATTACTTATATATTCTGACCATGAAGACAGATGTTTCTTTAAGATCCGCTTATTAGATATATTCATACGCTCATTGTATGTTCAAGAAAAATATATGTAATGATAATTAAGTTAATCAGATTAAGATATAATGAACCCATCAACATACCTTTTCAAAAATGTTGACCTAATTTACTCTGAAGAGGCAATGTTGTTAATTGCATAATTAGAATATGCTTTGAGACATGTTTTATTTCCTAAAAGGAAAAGTGGATTGCTCCAGGGACTTTAAAGACACTGGTACTTACCTAATTTGGACTTATACTCCTTCACTTTCCCAGCAAGATCTAGTCTGTTTGCTTCCCTCAAAACCTCACATAGAATATCTACCAGTGGTGCACCAGGTGATTGCCTTTTCTTCCACGCTGTTAGCAGGTCATATCCCCATAGTCTGGCTGATTTCCGCGTTTCCTGAATATTTTTCAGCTCATCATCCGTGAAATCAAGATGAATTCCAATGTCAGTAAAGTGGTCTCCAATTTGTGTGCCAATCTCTAAAAATAGCTTTCTATAAAATGTGTCGTCTATCTTGTTTTCAGTCCTTTCATGGCTTTCCATAGTTGTAGATACAAGATTAAAATCTTTTAGCATATATGCTGTGGATGTTTTTTGACAGAAGAGCTTCGGTCATCTCATTATGTCTTTTTCGTAACATTCATATTAATGAATCATTTGATTGGCCTTGGCCTTAGGGTCATCAGTATCTGTGTCGCCATCATTTAGAACATCCATATTACTTTTCTGAGATATTGTTCAGCTTTTCTTCCATTCATTTTATATTAATATGTCCCAAGATGATGATATGTACATGTACAATTGCATTTAAGTCATGTGCCATGCATCTTGTTTTTGTCTTTATTTCAAATGTTCTGTCATACTAGTTGTATCATGATAACGAAACTGATGCCATGTCAATTGCCATTTGTTTCTGCTTGCTTATATAGTAAGTCATACAAATCCATAGAAATTAAAGATTCTTTGTACATCTATGCTACAAAAAGAAGAATTGGCAATCAAAATACTGTAAAGAGCTGGCATAATTTAATTGTTGCAAAGTTGGATAAAATTCGGAGTAAAATATTTTCATATGTAACTTATCAAATGTAATTTGTTCCTTTTACTAAAACTGATATATCTATTCAATTGATATGCATTATGTTGGTTAGAGACATACAGGGTGGTCCAAAAATGGGACACTCATATTTTGAAAATAAGTATTGATTTTATTGCTGAAAACATGTTATATTATATCAGTGGATAGGGAAATTTGTTCCCTGTTTCTTTTTATCTAACAGCACACCCTATTTTTGTGCCCTATCACATATTTTTTAATCCCCAGTCTTTATTAAACATTTTGTGCGAGGTTTTCCTTCATTTTTTAGGTCAGATCAAATAAAGTTGACAAAAAAACTTGTGATATACCAAATTAAAGATAATTAAATTCCCCATCCACTGGTATATAATATGACATGTTTTTATCATTATCATAACAATCAATATTTACTTTTGAAATACAAGTGTCCCATTTTTTTGACCACACCCTGTATATAATTTGCTTTGCTTAGTAACAAAATTCTCAGAAAATATAAAACACAGGAAATATGTGACAAGAATACAAGGGGATCATAGATCAGAAAGTGTTTTTCAAGATTTTCAGGAAGTGTGACCAATTTTACAGAGATAAATCAATGGTATATGTCATAAAGTTATATTGTTGCAATGACAAAAGATTTTGTGATGAAAAATAAAAAAGCACACCCAGTCTTAGAATCCTCATTTTTGTAATGTTCAATAACTTAAGACTTGAGATCTAATATGTACAAATCGTTTTAATGCAGTTTAAAAAGTAAAAGTCCATTTTCAACTGTTATTCATGATTTACTAAACCAATGCAACATGACGTGTCACTGTGTAAGATAAGAAATGAGATATTTTGAAGTCACCTGAGCAGTCAAGAGTCTGTCAAAAAGGTTGTAACACATATTTCTCAAAATTGCATATATTTTAAATGAACCTAAATCCCAAAGATATGATTGCAAATGAAACTCCTTCTCAAAAATATGCGTGTACATCCCTTATCATTGCTACCATACATTGTATAAGGGGATTATAGATAGAGGATCAACCAAATGAAGTATTTTTAAGATCACTAATTATATCTGGATTTTGTTCAAATTATGTAGAAGATAAGAAATACAATATGTTATTGCTTTGGGAAATTTACTTTGCTTCTTCTAGCTTCTGATCAGGAAGCCATGTACAGTATACTTCGAAATAAAGGTATCCTATCGAAACAAGTTTGGGGGATATAAAGAACAGATTCATCCATACATACATCTTTATGTCTGTCCCTATGTCACTCTGTCAGGTCAATAACTCAAGAAACTAAAGCATGATTCACATAGTCATTGCATGTCTTGATTTATTTGTCTGTGAATAACCAGCTTTTGAGTTAAAAAATAAAGTTTTTGAAAATCATGAAATTTTTGTAAAAATGACCTGCCCCACTTCATTGACCAAATTATGCGATGACATTCCATGAAAATATATAGTATAAAACATGAACATACTATTTCGGCCATCTTGAAAAATTCACCTTTACTTTTAAGAAATATGTCAAAATGTAAATACTTAGACCAATGAAATTATACGTTGTGGCAGTTGATAATATATTTGCGAAAACCTAAAGAACTTAACACATACCTTTGATGTTTTAAAATCCTGATTATTTGATTTTGTTTGGTTTATGATATTTGAAATACCACAGGTCCCTAATTGGTTCAAAATCTAAGCTTGGTTTATGTGCAGGTTTATTTCCTGTTGTTCAACAAAGACTTGAGTTCTTAAAAAAGCCGTTTAAAATTTTGTTTGCATTTGAACTTAAAGTACTTTGAATAGTGTCTTACAAAAAACATGCTGAACGTGAATTGTGCATGGTAACTTTACTTTCTGTTTCGTTTTAGCTCATTTACTGATAGATGGTACTACTAGGATATAGCTACTTTCCATTTTAATGAATATGCTCGTTGATATACACACTGAGACTCAGAGGCTAGTGTCTTGTACATAGTAATTTCTGCTGTAGAGAAAGCATTTTAATCTCTTGAAAAGGACATGGGCTTTCAGTCAGGGGGGTGAGATTGCCCAAATTTTCTTTTAATGTAATTAGTTTTTAATTTGGGGGGGGGGTGATCATTGCATAAAGAGCCAACACTTTTTTTTTTAAAGATTTGTTTTGAATTTTAGAAAAATTGATGTAGCTTCCTTCAAAATTGAGCTAGAAGCTTCAAATAAAAAGCATTTTAAAGCTCTTTTCTTCTATCTAATGGTTCTATTTTTATTGGTTATGGTTATTACATAATAGAGCACACATTAATGGCAATTTTATGATTCACCAGAAATGCGAAGGAAATGCTCTGAAAGCCCTTCGACCTGCACCTTCAACCTTCGACCTATTGGGTGTCCAAAAAGAACAGTTAATAGGAGCTATTTTTGCCGATTTCGAAGAGCACAAGTGACTGATCTTGCAATGTTATAGACACCTTTAAGTTAACCCCCTCTAAGGGCTGAAGCTTGAGGTCATGGAATACCATGTAACAAGGAAATAAATTTTCTGTTTTAAGCATCTTTAGTATGGTACTTCATACTTTATCATTAAAGAGGGCAGGAACAATTTTTGAGAAGCCTTACATTTTCATGATGTTATCATAATATGAAATCACACATGGCAATATATTACTAACACAAGCGACTATAAAACTGAAAAAGAAGTAAGCATAAAATTTCAATCTTATTTTCTTAATGGCTACTCATGAAACAGTTTAACTGTGTTCAATAAAGCTAGTGTACAGGTAAGTAAAATGCAACTGATTTGTAAATCAGCGCAGAACCAGAGTCTGAAAGATAACCCTCTTCTTGAGTTACCTAGAGTGTAGCATTTAACCTTGAATAAGGGCTGTACCGCAGGGAAGTCAATATGAATCTTTACAGTCTTAGCGACATTAGGTTCCTATCTTGGCATGAAGGTTACATCTGTTGGGAGAGCATCTTCCTGAGAGCAGGATGCACCAAAATAAACGCGTCTGCTTTCTGTGTTTTCTCCCCTCCTTTGGTAGAAATTATTGAAGAGTTCCAATGTGTAGGTTTGAGGTTGGTGTTGAGATATAAATACACTGATTCAGGGGAAAGTTACGACAAATAGTTCACATTGGAATATTACAAACACTTTTTGTAGAATATTTTGCCTGGATTTTTGCACCTGGATTATTCATAAATTACACAATACTTAGGTAAGTTCCTTACTAAATATTTGCTGCTGATGCAAGTGTTTGATTATCTTCATTATTCTAGAATGTTAATCCATTCATCATTTACCTTTGCAAAAATATATTCCGAAATTAAGTTTTGCTTCTATTTTATCAGCATGTATTCTTTTTTCAGCATATATCTATCCTATCACTTTATCAGTTCACTTGAAGGAAATTGATCCTATAAAAATCTAGATCTTCTTAACAATTGAATTCAGAATAAATGTTTGTTTAATGCATTATGATAAAATCATTAATTCTAGATTTTGTTGTAGCATCCTCTCTTACATTTATATAAATGTTCAAGTTGTAAACATACATTTATTTTGAATATATTATGAATAAGGCGTATGTGAAGATGATTAGGAGACAAAAACACAAAGGGCAACAGAAGACAGAATAGTAAAGAAATGCACCTAAAAAGCATGTATTAGGCAGTATATTAGTAACTACATGTGATAACATACATATAAATAAATGAGAGAGCAATTAAAACTATACAAACTCAGTATTGTCCCTTTATTATAATATAATTTATACATAAATCATTACAAGTTATAGCTGGTATATGATTCAATTGCACAGTCTCTTATACTTTCTCTCTTAAAGTTTCTTTTTAATATTCAAGCCCCATGATACTGGGAAAAAATACAGTAGGTGAAGTCCCAAGATGCATTGCTGTCATGTGACCTGGTAAAATATATTTTCTTGATCTAATTACAGATAAGCGACATTAAAGTCAGAACATGTATAACTGTATATAAAATATAAGAAGGAAACATTAGTTTTACCAAAAATAAGAATTCCCCAAATGTGTTTTTTGGACAATTGTACATGATTTTATAGTTTATAGAAATATTTGATTATATTTCAATGGTGTATAGAGATCTGATTTGTGTTGTTTTAGTCTTGCCCTTTGTGCTGGTATTGGTAGGCATATAAAGTTTGTAATTTCAAGGAATTTCCATGATGAATTGTCATTTTTACTTTTAGGACAAAAATTAGAACCAAACATTTCATGAGACCACCTTCAGGGAGGGGGGTAGTGCTTGTCTGTATTGAGAAAATGAATATACATGTAAAGCATCCAGATTGTGTGAAAAGATTATATAGTCAAGTAGAATATATTTCAAAGCATCCAAGCAATTTCACAGCTCATGGCATTATCAGCTTAGCTTCTACCTAAATCATGTTCAAAGACCTTGAAAAATTGATCATGGCATCTCAGAATGTACTATGTAAATAGTTCCATCCAGATGTAGATGGTAGTTTTACAGCACATTTTCAGAATGTAAACCAGACCACCAGTTTAATTTTCTGAAGAAAGGAATCAACTAATTTGTATCCCTCCTAAGAATAGCAGAATGCTAAAAATTCGTAAAATTCCAGAATGTGAATTCAAATACTGCAAATTTTTGAAAGTTTCAGTGCATTTGGACCAAAATTTGAATTTTCCTAATTTTCACTTCATGGTTGAAATCATTTACAAAACCAGTTATACTGACTTGGATTCTTCAACCAGTTTACCTATGGTGTACTTTAATATTTTGTTCATTACAAAATGTCAACAAACTCTGGAGTTTATGAGTAATATTGCAAGCCAAGTTAGGCCAGTTAGCTAGTAGAGAGATTCATTGATTCAGCTGGTAAATATCTTACACAGCATTTTCAATACAAGAAAAATATCAATGTTTTTATTTTTATTTTGGAGAATGTTATTTTGGGCTCAACTCCTGTCAAAAGTATTACATGATTTTTTCCTGCTTAAATTATTATTAAACTTTTGTCACTTATTTGTTTTGTTTTATGTAGCAGGGAAGTCTGTTTTGTAAATACCTGAATGGAGATGTATTTGAAATGATAATTTTGGACTTGTTATATTTTGAAAATAACTGATAGATATTGGATAATTGTTAGGCACTAAGATCTATAATAAGACAACATATATATTGTAATGTTTTCATCTGTAAATTCCAGTGCCTTGATAGTTTCAGTGTTTTCATTCTTGTTTTATTTTTGCATGGTTATGATGTCAGTTTGGAGCTGCTAACCTTCAATCATGGCCAGTAGGTACCCAAAAACAATGTGCAATCTGGATTGTTGCAATCTAACAATGTGAAAGTTAACATTGTTGCAATCTGCAATCTGGATTGTTGCAATCTGACAATGTGAAATATAACATTGCAAATTGTTGCAATCTGCAATCTGGATTGTACAATCTGTTTATACATCTCCGCTCAGAATGGCAACAATCTTAGCAATGTTGCAATGTGCAGATTGTTGCAATGTGTGCAATCTGCAATCTGGATTGTTGCAATCTAACAATGTGAAATATAACATTGCTGCAATCTGCAATCTGGATTGTACAATCTGTTTATACATCTCCTCTCAGAATGGCAACAATCTTAGCAATGTTGCAATGTGCAGATTGTTGCAATGTGTGCAATCTGCAATCTGGATTGTTGCAATCTGTTTTATACTTCTCTCAGAATGGCAAACAATCTTAACAATGTTGCAATGTGCAGATTGTTGCAATATGGTTTATACTTTCAGAATCTAATATAACCTTAACATTGTTGCAATATGAATATTGTTGCAATGTGGATTGTGCAATGTTAATAATTAACATTATTATACAATATACACAATCTTTGTAATAGTAAACTATTTAGATGGTTACTTAATACCAAATATAATGTGCAATATAATTTATTATGAACGTGCTGAAATATAGTTTTAATTAATTTCATTACTTTGTTTATTTTTTATTAAGAACTCTCTCTTTTGAAGTGGGAGAGTTGTATGTAGCCCCCATGCTTTGCTTCATCGTATCATATGTTGTTAATGAGATGCTGTTTCATGTGCAGTGTCTCCCCAACGTGTTATCTGCTCATTAAGAAGAAATTAAATACTGTTCAAGATAATGAACATTAATTAACATGGCCAATGCAGAGCCAGTTGGAGTTACAGTGAAATGTAAACTTATTCAAACTTTGATTCATCCATATATCATAGGTGTTAGTTGAAATGAAGTCAATGTGAACATGTTCATATTTCTAAGTTGAAGGTTATAACATATCCAGGAAAAACAGTATATCTTTCACGATTCCTATCATCATACAGCAGACAATTTAAGAGGCATGATGCCATTGCTGCAATAAAGACCATGAAATAAAGCAACATTTCAAAAAATTCATGTTAACAGTTTTTGTCATGAATTACAGCTGATTCCTAAATGCTTTGAAAGCTCTGATTCAGACATTGAAATCAGTGTTTTACTTCACAGTGTCAGATGTGGTATTCAGTGCTCAACCGGGAACACCACTTGCAACTAAGATTGTATTGTATCGCATTGTATTGTTATTATAGATGAATCATAAAAATCTCAGTCTGATTTATTTTATTTCTTATATTGAAAATATAATAACATGGGATGCAATGTAATGATAACTTTTCCCAAACTTTTCCCAAACTGTTTGGATTTATCATGTAATAAAATTTTGGCAAAAACATGTTATTCTGTTAATAATTTAAGATGTGAAGATTATGAAAATCTAAATATTATAAAGATATTATTCAACTTTTACTCAATTAACCTTTCTATGAAACCATGCCCCAAACTTCATAAATAGTCCAGGAGTAAA